ATTATTTTCTTATTATAATGGGTGCTAGGCAAACTAAAATTGAGGGGACCTACTTGCCAGAAACGCCCACAGTTATAGCTGGTAAAGTGTGTATGCCTGTTGACATGGATGAGGCAAATGACTGCGAGAAAAACGTAGATGTGCAGGACCCGCGTTCGCCAAATATCTGCAGAACACCAATCAGTGTACGTAGAAACCTGCTTGGTTTTTCATAGAGTTCTTCAAGTAACATCTTTACAGATTTTTTCAGCCACATATCAATGCTCAGAAAGTGAACATATTGCCAAAGTGAACCAAACTGAAAGCGCAGTTGGACAGCTACGTAAACGTTTTTTCAAAGGATTTTCTTATAATTTGAACGATCCCCGTTCACCCGGCTATCAATTCAATCGTACTTCTATTTCTTTTGATGATTCACAAGACAAAATCCTAAACTTGGATGATACTTTTGCTGATTTATTTGCGGAAACACAAGTTCATACGTTTGTACATACTGATACAAAATTTGATCAAGATTCAAAACTTAGTACGCCTGAGTCGGGGGAAAATACTGAATCTGATGCAGCTTATGAAGAACTGAATGCCGTGATTAAGGATGTAAACGAAAGTCTAGATTGCCTAAAAGAAAATTCTAACTCCGAGGTAGAGGCTTCGTCCCTTCCATCAGAATTGACACTTTCGCCAAAGATTTTACAAGACGAAATTGATCCACGCTCTCCTACAATAGGAGTCGATCGCACACCAATAATATTTAACGATGATGAGGATGAAACTCATGAAAGCATCTTGTTGGAAAGCATTTTGGCCACTCTTTCGCTGGATATGAGTAATAGCAGCTTTTGCTCACTAGGCACGCCTAATCGGGAGGCAACTTCACCCCACCAAAAAATCGATTCAAGTAAAACTGATCGCCAAGGTCAGCTTTTTAGGAAAATTACACATAAACGTATGCGCCGAACACACGTCAATGAGAAAATCTCGCTAACACGTCGCACACCCATAGATGAAGAAATGTCTCCGCAGCGTGTGTTTGAAGATTGTGAAAATGTTGTAGCGAACTCGAACGTAGAAAGAAAGTTGAAAATGCAACAAAAAGATTCGCACGGCAATACGAATAAAAGAACACCACTCAGTTGTATTAAAAACAAAAGAAATTTACACACAAAATCAGAAGAGTATTCAATGAAATCCCACAGAGCACGATTGGAAAATGCTAACGATGACAATTTTACCATTGGATAGAGAAAGCAAAGCGACATGTAGAAAGGCAGCAGTTAATTATGTCTTGAAATATTTTAGCTAATTACTTCTATAAAGTAAGCTATAGCAATAATTTTTTTACATATTTACGTATAAAAAATTTATTTGTTTGTTCATACCTGTTTCTCAGTACTAAAAAGTCTGAATATTTGCTTGATATTGCATATTTTTAAATTTTTCTTCATATTTAATAAACAAAAGCCAATGGGTTGCCGTAAATGCAGTATTTTCGTGTTTTGAGCTGTATTGATTATATATGATGAATATTTTCTCTTACGTTTATGTACAAGCCTGTGTACATTATGCTGCCGACAATAGTTCCATGCTGTCATTTTACTGTTAGAATTCAACCACTTTCACCTACATCAATATAATGCAAACCTTTGTATACATAAGTACCGCAAAAGAAGCACTTTGGTACTACGACACGTTAATATACGCTAGTATGCTTATTTAACAACTCAAAAACTGAACGGAAGTTGCAAAAGCATGCCCCGCAGAGGAACTGTGACTGCTTGTTTTTGTATACTTATATTTCCTGGAATCATAAAATATAACATTGCCACTTGAAAACTAATTAGCTTCATATCGTCGTGTTCTACCGCAGAGCACATCTAAAAAGTGTAAATAATGCCAAATTAAAATTTATAGTTGCAGCTAATACTTTGTTGGTGGTATTAAAATGATTTGCACACATTCATCCTGCCATTGGCCTTTGACACATATTTATGCACATACAGTTGTTAGCAGTTATCATTCAGATTAAGACTAGATAAAATGTGCTAATATAAGAATGTATGTTTAGGTAGACCATGTCGTACAAAAAGCACGTAGTTATTTTAATACTGTTGCAAAATGAATCTGCAACACCAGCAAAACTAATAAATGAGCCGTTTACTTTCAACAAGGCATAAGTCTCTCCTCTTGTACTTAAATGGCTTGCTACTTGTATCTGAACGCGTCGGTTATTCGTTCAACTTCATCAACCAAAGGTAAAAGGTTTTGTCTTTAGTTTATGACGATATAACGGTTTACAAATGCGTTCGGTTACAAGTAACCGGTAATTTAGGCTCAAATCGAAAAAATGCAATGTCTTCGGTTCGAATTAAAACTATCGGCATAAACGAATTGTTGTTGTTTTGTTGTAGTCTACATACTCGAGACTGCCTCTCAGTGAATGACGTTCAAAGTCTGTCGATAAGCTGTAGGGTCCAGAGGTTGTTTGATAAAGCTCTGGACTTCGTCCGTCAGTTCGTAGAGATGCCTCGTGACGTGCCTGGGCGAGGGCTCTTCTGCAAGCAGTTGTCTGCTTGGGTTACTACGTCCGTGGCTCCCAACTAGAAATTGCTTGCAGAGCATTGTGTTACGCTCCCTAACGGGGAATATATGGGCCTCGTCGTGCAGGTGGTGTTGCGGCCACATCAGAAGGCATCCTGTCGCTGTCCTGAGTGACGTGTTTTGGCAAGTCTGCAGCTTCCCACAACATTCCCACGACAGCCGGTTCTACGTACCGGAATAACTCATGTTTTAGCCGACCAAGGGCTATTGTTTCGGCGATTTAACCCCCGCCGAAATCCCTCAAAACGTGTAGGTCCATATGGCTACATTTTCGTCACCGTTATGTAAACAAATTGTCTTCCTTTAGAAGATTTTGGGAAGGATGTTAGATTTTTAATATCATTTAAGAACGACTATTTAGGCTTTTATTTAAAGTTATTTATTTTACTTAGAATTGTTCATATATAATCGTTTACTTTCACTTATCTTTTTGTTTTTATTAAGCTTTACAGTTTTAGAACGTCGCACATTTTCATCGCTATACTATAATCAAGTGTGGAATTGGAAATTATCGATAAATAAACTCATAAACTAAATGTTGTAGCACAGATGTTTGTACATAGGTCCACTTGCATAATAAACACAAAGGACAATATACTATACATCAATGCATATTTAATATGGGAAAGGCGTTCTTGAGTTCTTGTCTGTTATCGTATTTAAATACATACAACCAATACAGAATAATTGTATTTCACATTTCGATATCATTCATTTTGTAATGCACTTGGTACAGTATCTTGCGACAATAATTTGATGTTTTTCCTTTATTTTTATTTTATTTATTTTTTGTTATGCACCGATTTGCGCTTATAGCAATGAAAAAATTAAAATATATTTAAGGTATGTCCAAGAACTTATGTACATATGTATAAATGTAGGTTCTTAGCAATCTTTTGTGAGTTGTAGCCTACAAATTCGAAATAATATAAATGAAATGAATAGATATTAAAGATGTAATTATAAATAACATATAGATATATAGGTATATTATATTTTCACACCAATCGCTAGAAAAATATATATTTACTTGACGTAGACTACACTGCAGAGTTGAGACAACAAAATGTATACAAGTAAATTTTAATTCAAGGAATAACCATGGATAATTCCAAACATTTGTATACTATAGGGCCGAAAGAAACGTTATAGACATACCCTCGATTTGAATTTAGTTTGTTTTGGTTACTAATTTCACTTTCAACTTTGTACTAAATGAGCTTAACGTGCAAAAGCAAATATGACAACACATTTTTCTTTTTTAATCAAGGTATTTCTATTGCAATTTAAGAAATCGTATTCAGAGACTAGATCCTAATCACAAATGCACAATTGGAAATGTATGTATGTACCATTATTTATTTATGGTTACGATTTTCTGTTATTTAGTTCAGTTTCGAATATTTGCACGTTTGTCAATACGTTTCATTCGAATACAGTAGTATCTACATACAGAGTATCATGCGTAATCACACCTGCATACGTTTGTCTCATTTAATTCATACAAAGTATAGCAATGAATTCTTTTATTTTTTATAATTAAAATGTCTAATTGGGTTTAAATTTTCGACCATATATCAAACTGTTGTTACTTGTTCAAATTTGAATTTGTTTATGATTCACATTTCATTGTCTTACATTCATATGCTCACGCCACATTAATTTGCACTTTACAGCACTAGTAAACTATTGGCATATTTTTCTAACGGGTTTGGCTTTTCGAATGTGCGATCAACCATTGCAACGTTATGTCGATGTTGTCCTTTTCCTTGCACGAAATGCTATAACAGCAAATTTCTCTGTCTTGTATACTTGCTAAGTTCCTATTAAACAAAAAAGATAATTTCCTATGTTAAAATATATGTAGATTAAATACACTCACATTCGCTCAATTAGTCCAGTTTCATCAAGTGCACCTGGAAGATCACGTTTATTGCCTAATACTAGTACAGGTATACCCGCCAATTGAGGTTTATCCAATAAAGAATGTAGTTCGTTTCGGGATGCCTCCATTTTGTCTAGATCAGCCGCATCCACCATATACCTGAAAATAAAATAGTTAAAAAATCGTTGTTCGTTGTAATCAAATCAAATAATTACACAATAGCATTGACACCACGACAATATCGCTCCCACATGGATCGGAATCTTGGCTGGCCACCGATATCCCAAACTTTAATGGTAACATTACCTTTAGTAATCTTACGCATATTAAAACCTACAGTGGGTATCATGTCTTCAGCGAATTGCCCCGACTGAAAAGAAACAAAGTTTATTTATTTGTTTTTGTTTTGTTTACAGTCTGTAAGACATAACAAATATTTAACATTTTTAGAATTAGATTAAATATATGATGTAAGGAAAATTTTTTAAATAATATTATTTTTTATCACTGTAATTATTTTATACCAATGTATTGCCAGCCATTGGCCGGGAGTTGTGTAGACGGTTGTAAAGGTCGAGTTTCCAATCCGCGCTATACATTTTGTGTTTCTCCGTATCTTCATATCTTCTGGGGGGTCAAAAAGGCCGAGTCTCCGATCCGCCCAGTCGCGCTGTCGTGGCGGTTGGAAGGGCCTAGCTTCCAATCCGTTCATTTATTGTTTATTATTTTAGGTTTTTAATGTATCTAATTATTTTTTATACTTTTCGCGTTTCTCCGTATCTTGATATCTCCTGGGTGGTCGAAAAGGCCGGGTTTCCGATCCGCCCAGTCTCGATATCTTGGTAGTTGGAAAGGTCTAGTTTCCAATCCACGCTATTGTTCATACATCAAGTTAGACAAAGCAATCAAAATTAAACACATATCGTCGTTTAAAGTACAAAGCCGCGTATCAAGAAAATGCAAATCCTCGTATGTGAGGTTGCCGAAATTTTATAGGAGAGAGTAAAACTTGTCATAATTCAAAACGGTTCTCTTTTTTAAACTTAGTTATCGCTTCTTCTTATGTCTAAGTATCGATATTTTAGTATAAATCATAACAGGCTAACCTGCAACTTGTATGAGATCAACCGAAATTGAACGGCGTGCGTATGAAGCTAACTCAATTTCCAATTTTTGTTCTGCGTGACATTTTGATTTGACGTTTCGCTCAATGAAATCAAATGCAAACGCATGCAAGTCAATTTCGGGTGACGCAAAAAAACAAATTCGACGGCATGCGTACCAAAACGCAAGCCGCGAATATTAGGTTAGCCTGTAAGGGCTTGTTGATAGGAGCTTCGGGTAAGCAAATATCTTTTTTTGCACAAATGTCAGTTACGAGGTTTTCCAGAACCACGATACGCGCTTTTGTACTTTAAACGATATATAAATCGTTATCTTAACATAAAAATTACCTATCTAATATTTTTATTTCTTTGGAGAGTATTGAAAAAATAATGAAATTAAACTTAAATTCCAGTACCTCCTCGAATTCGAAAAAGTATTTAGTAAGTAATAATTAACTATTGCACTAAACTGGGTAAGTACCTCGCTTTAAGGAATTAATCTAATGTGCTACATCTCGCAACAAAGCGTTAAAAATATACTACTTAAACATCATATGTAGCTTAGAGTGAAAAGTTGTTAAGTCCACTTTTTATGAAAACTCATATTTTGATACAGGAGGCTAGAGGAATGAAAAACGCATTGTTTCGAAAAAGATAAAGGTATTTTTTTATTTATTGTCGTTTATTTTCAATGAAAGGGAAATCCGATGATGCCAAAATAGTACAAAATTTTTAAATAAAGATCGAAACCCTCTGATTTATATGTAGTTTTGCTTTGCCGTAAACAGCCAAAATTTTGTATTCACCGTTTTACGAAATACTTGAAGAAATTTCCTCTCCTTTAAATTTTTTAAAATCGGACTTATCACCTTTCCACTCTTAAGCTTGCGATATGCGTATATATGTATGGAAATAAGATGATCTACCCAATCTTACAATAACACCTACATCCACTCACATAATCTTATTTTTACATACAGATTATTACATTCAAACAGAGGGTTATATTCATTGGAGCATGTTATCGCTAACAAAAGCAACAAAATCAAAGCTAATGAGTCACTTACAAATGACCACTACCCAAAATACTTAATAAAATCAGAATGGAAAGGCAACTTACAACCTTCTATGACTTTTACTATTCTCTACACGTTATAAAAACTGTTAATTGTATCTAAACATTGTGAAGGCTTTGCAATCCTCATCTATCCAAGAAAATCTAACTACAAAACGGCTGCAAAATAAGCCTACTTCTTCAAAGAACTGAGTTCAGCAAAAACAACGCACAAGTACATCGTCGTTAAAAAGTAGATGGGGTCTTCTGGGGGTAATTTGAAGCTTAACAATGTATGATTATGTAGACCAAACGTCTGTTTGTAACAGCTGGGACAAAGCTAATATGTAATCATAATTAGAACAATTGTAAATTATAATAATAAAAACATATAAACAAATTAGAGAACAATAACCAAACTGCAGATTGACAGCTACAAAGAACGTTGACAGTTATGGGGCAGTGACGCAAGGCAACAACATCAAATGGTCAGCTATGGCGTCGCAGTCAATGACTGAATTTTCGGTGAGGAGTGGCATTGGTCGGTAGCAAGGAATATTAGTTTCGCCAGCAGGAGATAGAAAAAAGCGATTGCTATAGGGAAAGCCAAGTATAATATGTACATGCTATTTATGTGGGACATTGACGAATTTTTATGCGTTCACAAATGCTGGTTAACGTCTGTGGGTGGTAGCAAAAATTTGGGTGTGCACACACAAATCCGCACAATACTCACTGCAATAACATTCACGAACGTTGTTTTGCCTGAAAACTGCAGTCCCACTAGCGTCAATTCCATCTCTTCTTTCCAGAAAATGCTCTTAAACCAATCCAAAATTCTGTTGATTAATGCCAGCATCCTTGCACTATTTTCTTATTAATTTATATAAAAATCCTTTATTAATCGCTATTTGAAGCCTTTTTCACTTTTCCCTTTACACCAGATGCAGCCTGACAAATTTTTCCTTTATTTTTTCTACTGTGCTGTTGAATTGAGGTGTAAGAAGAAGAAGAATTGTCTAGTTTGACAATTATGACAATCAACGACAAGTGCTGTTGAACTTTAACAAAAGGGGAATTGCGCGTCCCTCAAAACAGTTCCCTTTTACGGCAGTCGAATTAGGGCCATTCCAGACTTTTCACAACCACATTCATGCAGTAATTTCAAAAATTGTCATAGAATATTAACCACGGATATCCAAAAAATTCGAGTTTAATATAATAGAAGAAATCAATGAATATCTTAAAAAAAACTTAGATTGCATTCTGTTCCAATATTTGCTATTTGTAGTAACCTACGCAATCAATGTAATGGTACTTAGATAATTCCAGTCAAATTCCTTTTAAATTAGACTGATTGATGCCACTTTAAAAAATAAAATACAATGTTGCTCAGCTAAACTGTTTATTTTAGTCAGTCCCTACATATTTTTCTAACAGCTCCTGCTTTCGCTTCCTCAATAATGCTTCTTCAATATCTTTTTGCGTTGGTACGGGTACATGTGCTGTGAAACGGGGTGCTAACATTTCCATAGGATCATTTCCCACTATTATACTTGTCGATTTGTCGGTTTCACTATCTCCTTCAGTATCCTCGGCGGCTGCCTTCAACGAACCATATATCTCCTCTTCTTCCTCTTCATCAACATGTCCATCGCGAGCCATTTTTTCTTTCCACTCTTGCAAGGCATTTTGAATAGCTATACGTTCAATTCGTTCCTCCATTGGTATTAAAGTACCATCATCGTCGTCTCGATAGCCATAGTACTCAGCATCGATGTCTTTCATCAGTTCTGCACGTGTTTTACGTTGAGGTGCCGGTGGCTCTTGTTCAAAGAGTTCGCGCACACCAGGTAAGTCTTTCGCTGCACCGAAATACTTATAACCACGATTGCCTGGTACTTCTCGCCCCTCGGCGTCGAACATTTTTGGTCCATAGCGTCGATAATGTGGACCACCCAAAGCGGAAATTTGATTCTCCCAATGTCGCTTTTCTCGCAGCAATTTATTTATTTCATCGTTTAAATCTCTTATTCGGAATTCACCTAATCCGGCTATGAAATTGGGAAAATAAAAATTAAAATGTATTTACGCATTCTTGCATTTCATACCGTTTTGAATTTGTGCTACTTTCTTAGATATTTCTCGGATAATCTCTAAACGGTACTTTTCACACTTAGGGAGACTGGTACATTCCGATGCCAAATACGGACGTCTGTCCTTTTCGCCAGATTCAGCTTCCTTGGCGGCACGCCAACGGGCTAACGTCGTCCTGAAAGTTGAGCAAATAGTGTTTATTAAAGTATTAAGCAAGAATTGGATCGGAAGTGACTTACATTGCCTTTTCCGCATTACGCGCCTGTGGGAGAATAAAAGCATTATTAGTAAAATCATAATTATTTTGTATATATTTAATATAATACTATTACCATTTTTACAATTCGCCACCGTGCCAAAACAAGCGAAACCACTTTCTCTTGTTTATGTCAAATTAGAAATGTAAAAAACGTCGATGTATCGAGTAAAATCGATGGTCGTTTCTTCAAACATCGATGTTTGTCGATGTTGTTATTAATGTTTATACGATGTTTCCACATTCGTAAATCGCTCTCAGAGGCCTGCATTTATTATTCATTTTCAACGTTTGGAATAAACTTTTTTTAAATTGATTCTTTAGAACGTTCCTGATGATATGTTAACGTATATTTCAAACGCATTCTGTTTATTCGGGTTGTAAAATGGGATTATCCGGAATGTATAAAGAAACGCAGCCTAAGTAATTCGTGAATTACTCTGCTTCCACACCACACACTAATAATTCGTTTGGCAGCTCTACTTCTTGTTCTTGTTCTTCGCTATTTATTATAATTTTTGCGTACTGAAAACATCGGAGATGGAGAAAAAATTTAATTCATCAAAGATTTTAATTTATATAGAGAATATTGTGGCGAATACTGCGGCAACGGGAAGCGAACAACGAGAAATATGCAGAATGTTCTAGGAATTACGTAGAATGTTCCACAAATTGAAACGTCAAGTAGGATGAACACTGCGAACAGCGAGAGAAAGAGAATGAGCGATAAACTTCAGAACGCTCTAGAGTTGCCATAAGTATATAACGAAGTATTGACTCGCCGAGGATGAATTGAAAATACATTACACACCTCCTTTCAAAATATAAACCCTCCACATATCGACTATTAAAACAATTATCTTTTTTCGTATTTCATTTTTGTTATTTTTTTATTAAAATTTAGTTCGTTCCTTAACAAAAAATTATAAACATGGATCCAAATTAAAATAGTGCTTTCCTAAAAACATCGATGTCTTAATTTGATAAATCGAACATCGATAGTCTCATTGTGATTTAACACCCTATAGCGCCAAGGAGACAATCAAATAAATACGTCAAGCATTGCGTATGTGTGAGTGAGGTTCGCTATGTTTTGGCCGCAAACGTTCAAATAAACGCTCAGTCACCTCTTTGTATTGTGTGTGTGTAAACGCTGCATTCGTTTGTTAGCATGTTGTCATCGGATGAGTATCTGTTGTTAATTATTCTTTATTGCACAAGACTTCAAAATATTGTCTGCATACGTCTTCAAAATAATCAAGACAGTGATTTAGACAATTGAAAAAGTATGCATGTATTAGCGAAAAAGTGTGCATGTATTGCAATTGACGTGACAGTATTGTCAGTAAACAATGCCAATGTTGTCGGGTCGTATAATTTAGCCTAATTTACGACTTACGAAATGAGGCTGAATTGTTATTTGATCTCTTCACTGCTAGTTTTGCAAAAGAAACTCAAATCAGCCCCTCTTCTGCGGCCAGCCAGGATGCCAATATTGAAATTCTTATACAGATCGCTGATAGACTCCTCCTCATGTATGAAATATCGTAAACACTTGCAGAATTTGTATTGTACTCTTTCGACCTTGTTTACTTGTTGTTGCGTGAATGGAGACCGTAAGACACTAGCGGTGGTTTCTGAAAAGTGTATTGTCTTTATCATAGTCGGGACGCCTACTTTACACAACAATTTGACCATGAAAGACACGAGATCACGCCTTGAGGAAAGAAAGAAAAACGTTATTTTCTAGCTGATGAAATCTCGACGCCATCTTTGTTGTAAGAAGTAAACAACGAAGAGAACGAAGAAAACTGGGTAATTGTTGAACGCATGTGTAATCATTTATATTATAAAAATTTTTCTATAAATCATGTCGTTGTGTTAAATAATTATTTACCTTATGTGTATACACGTTGTCACAAGCGAAAACGAAGTAATTTCCAGTAAAAAGCCACCACCAAATGTAAGCAACGAACAAATGTACACAAACAGCTAGTGTCAAAATCGCCAAACTTGTTTCCTAAATGCGATTATAACGGGCTACTGGCTTGATGGCGTGATTTTTTATTTTTAGTTCATGTAATTTGACAAGTAATACCAAAGAACGTAGATAATAAGAAAGGACCACTTGCTATAATTGTAGCGAAAGTGTGCAACAGGGGCGTGCCTTCTCTTTTACCCTACCTACATTGTGAAACGCAAAAAAACTAAAACTCCTGCTTGCTCGAGTTATTCCTCAAATAAAGTTCTTGATTGTGTAACGTCCAAGTTAGTAGACAAAACTCAAAACGTTATCGAGTTAGAGTCGATTTTAGTCGAATCGGGGTGCTTAAAGTCATTCCATTCCTATTCCCGCCTGTTTAAAATCGATTGACAGCGTTTGCGAAATTTCTATTGCGTTTGCAAAAAAGTGGCGAGCAACTTTAAAGTTTTGTGAAATATTCAAAAATACCTAAAAATAAAACGCATAAGAAACAGTTTTATTCACAATAAATTATTTAGTTAATCATGGCAGGAATAACTCCATTGTCCACCGGCGTTATTGAAGTATGTATATGAGCTGCATCCTCCTTGTGAAATACCTACCTACATATGTACCTTTCATAATTTGCAATTTTTCTTCCTTTCGATTCAATAGCGCATAATGCGAGGGGAAGAAGTAGATAAACCTATTTTGCAGATATTGGGCACAAAGAAAATCACCGGTGGTGAAACAGATCGCCTGCGCTTGCTGATTTCCGACGGCAAATATATCAACAGTTATTCCATGTTAGCAACGCAACTAAATCATTTGCATGCCGAAGGAAAGCTTGCGGAATATACTATAGTCCAAGTGGACAAATATATAACATCAGTAGTTAATGCGAAAGATGCTGGCAAGTAAGGGAATTATAATATTTTCGTTTTTCATATTATTTCATATTAAAATTATTTAAAAGGCGTGTGTTAATAATACTAGAGTTGAGTGTTCTAAACCCAGGCGCGGAAGTAGGCAGAAAGATTGGAACACCCGTTTCTTACACGGAGGATGCCGCTGCTCAAAGTAATAAAGCCAATTCAAGTAGTAGTACTGCCCCCAAGCCAAATGCTCCGGCAAATTCATTTAAAAACGATACAAAACCGTCCCTATACAACAACAATAACAATAGTATGTTGAATCAGTCACTGAACTCTGGGCTTACGCATCCAATCTCTAGCCTGAGCCCATATCAAAATAAGTGGGTTATTAAGGCACGTGTTACGGCCAAGGGTCCCATGCGCACCTGGAGCAATGCAAAAGGTGAGGGCAAGCTTTTTAGCATGGATTTAATGGACGAGTCAGGAGAAATACGCGCGACTGCTTTTCGTGAGCAGGCTGAGAAATTCTACGATTTAATCGAAGTTGATCGCGTCTACTTCATTTCAAAATGTCAACTTAAACCGGCAAATAAACAGTTTACATCACTGAAAAATGACTATGAAATGACATTGACTGGGGAAACAATGATCCAAGCATGCGAGGAAGACGACAGTGATATTCCAGAAATAAAGTACGATTTGGTACCAATATCTCAGGTGGCCAATCTTGAGCCTCGTACAAGTATCGGTGAGTACAGATTTACAGCTGATTACAAATCAAGTACCTGCTTACGTGTAAAATTTCTTCTAATTTAGATACAATTGGTATTTGCAAAGAAGTTACTGAGCTACAAACTTTTACTTCTCGTACAACTAATAAAGAATTTAAGAAGCGTGAGCTGGTACTCGTTGATTCGAGCAATGCAGCTGTAAGTAAAAATTTAATATTTAATAAATCCGGATTGTAAACAACTTTTGGATACCAAGGTAAATTTAACTTTGTGGGGCGATGAAGCTGTTAACTTCGATGGCTATGTGCAGCCAGTGATTTTAGTGAAAGGTGCACGTGTAACAGAATTCAATGGTGGTAAAAGCATTAGCATGGGAAGTGGCTCTGTAATGAAAATAAACCCAGACATTCCTGAAGGACATAAATTGCGTGGTTGGTTTGATAACGGTGGTGGGGAACATATATCAAATATGATTTCAACCAGGTTTGGATTTTAAAACTCACTAAACGTTTCAAAAACACATTTTTACATTTTATAAACTAACCTCTTTACGTTAGAACTGGTGGAGCTGGTGGTGGCTTTAGCACAGAATGGTTAACATTCCATGAGGCACGTATTCGGAATTTAGGCGCCGGCGACAAGGCTGATTACTTTCAATGCAAAGGCATTGTGCACATTGTTAAAAGTCAAAACGCATTTTACAAGGCTTGTCCGCAGCAGGACTGCAATAAGAAAGTCATTGACGAGAACAATGGACATTATCGCTGTGAGCGTTGTAACGCCGTTTTTCCTAACTTCAAATATAGACTTTTAATAAATGTAAAATAATGAGATTACTCCGAAAGCGTAAACCATTTATTAAAATGTATTAAATTTTTCTTCAAATCAGATGAGTATCGGTGATTGGACCTCAAACCGCTGGGTCACTTGCTTTAGCGAAGTCGCTGAACAAATGCTGAAACGTTCATCTCAGGAAATAGGTGAACTCTTAGAAAACAATCCCCCTGAAGGTGAAGAAGTACTTTCGTCGATTAACTTTACTTCGTATATTTTCAAATTGCGCAGCAAAATGGAAATGTTTGGTGTGAGTAGACACTCATTATTTGAATAGTCTAAGCACGAATATGTAATTTGGGCTTATTTTTAATTTCTCCAGGACATGCAACGTAATAAATTGACAGTACAATCTGTCGCTCCCGTAGATTACAAGGAATACAACAAATATTTGATAAACAATCTGAAGGAGTTAACTGGCATCAACAAAAATTGAATTGAATTAAAATTGTTTAAGTTATTTATATTTATGTTTATTTCTATTTGCTCGTGTTACTAAAGCATTTTTATGCTATACGAACTTAAAACTTTTTAACTCTCAATAAAATATGAGCCCATGGGTGTGTTTTGTAAACACTGCCCTTTACATTTACACATGCGTGCAAGAAGCGATCAGGTCGTGGTAAAAGTCTTCAAACTGAATAACTGAAATTTTTACCTGCAAATAAAGGGCGGCGTAGACATATGGCCCTATTGGCGACTGGGGTCTAGTCGTTCCCACGACAGTCGGGTCTACGTAACCGGAACAACCCAGATTTATATCTGGCCAGGGACTGTCACTCCAGCAACACTCCCCAAAAACTCTTTGGGGGAATTTGTATGCTGCTACAACAACAACAACAACAACTGGGGTCTAGTGGTCTAGTAGCCGTGGCTATCAGTATTGTATTTTGTATTATGTATACCGATTAATCTCAGTATATAGAAAAGCGCAGACAACATCCGAATTTACTATTTCGGCATGCACATTTCGAAGTAATTGGTAACTTTGCCCCCAAGGTATATAATAATTTATGTAAACAAAAAACAAAATCGTCATAAGCGGGAAACAAAAAATTGCGTTACTAGACTCAGTAGCCGACAGTCTTAAGCCAGTTTCCATACGTAATAGGAATTTTAGTATATGGTTGCTCATCGGCTATCAGTCGCCATACATAATATGACCAATAATCATGATAAAAAAAACATGTTTTACAAGCCTTTACTTTTACGTACATAGGATTTCATCATTAACTTGATAGAATAAAACTCAAATTCGCATTTCGATTTTGGTGGCCAAAAATCATGATAAAAAAAAACATGTTTTACAAGACTTTACTTTTACGTACCTAGGATTCCATCATAGGCTTGATAAAATAAAATGCAATTTCACATTTCGATTTTGGTGGAATCTAGATACCACTTCTCGATCCGAATGCATGCGAACGTATCCACCTTTATATATACGGATCAAGAAGTGCTGCTGAAATTTGTTATCTGTATATTGATTTAACTTTGTGTTCTGGAGCAGAAATTTAGTTTTCAAGGAAATTACAATATCAGCTAAGTCTAGCATGGTATGGTTTGGAGGCGGCGATATTTAAAATTTATGTACATATATATATGCCGCTTTCAATTTCGGGGAGTAGAGAAACGTACATTTTCCCGAAAGTGCAGTTTTCGTACATTTTTCATATCCGGAAGCGTTCAGAAAACGATTTCTATTTTTCTTAATTTTTCGTATCCGAGCAATGTCATGTTATTGCAAAGCAATGAGGTTGTTCACGCTTGTCAGGTTATACATATTTATTAAAATTTAAATTATTGGTGAATCTTAAAATGGTTTTTTTTCTGTGAAGTTCGTAATGAAATCGTTTTCAACGTTCAGCGAAAAATTGAATCAACAAATTTCAGGACAACGGATGAAACATCAGGTTTTTATACGAAATTCTTTCCATTTTCGAATAAGTTTCCGGATATTTTGCTGGCTAGATAGCACATCTGTTTTCTTATACATATATCTTTTATGTATGTGTTTGGGAGCTTTAAATAGCCTTAAAATTAACCGATTTACATACAGATTTATGCAATTTATGTCGAATTTCAATTTGGCATTGGAATGACAAAAAATTGTGCCATTTAAAAAATGCCATGTGGAAATGAGCTGAATGAATATTTTTTGAACCTAATGACACGTTTATTTTTTAATTCCTAACTTTGTCATTACAATTATTGCCATTTAATGCTTAGTGGAAATCCAGAATTAGAAAGAAAATTATTCAAGAAAGGCATTCGTTAGAGGAAATTTTGTTCTTTTGGAAAACTCGTAACAATTGTTTCGGATCTTGCTGGAAAGTGGGCACAAAAAAAAGACCTAATAAATCCAAACCCAAACGTCCAAAAAATAAAAAAAAATATATGTACACGGTTCTGTCACACGGTCAGTTGTTATGACGATATTTGGATCGGGATCCATATTAATGGATTGATGGATCGCGCACGAATGCTACATGCTCAATATTTATCGCGTCAGTATTTGTATAATTTTTGTGCTGAACGCTTATTATGATGCAAGAAAATATATTTATTTTGTATGATAATTTCCAGATAATGCATTCCAAATTATTTTAAAATTTCCCATGGCTAATTAAAATTTTTTCAATTTGTTTTGAAAGGTGTTAAGCAACGAGAACGAAAGCATAGCGCAAGGCGAATTTATATAAGGTGGTGTTACTAGCTCAGCTGATTTTGTGTATGTGTTTCGCCGCACGGCTTCTGATATCAAATTGAAAAATTTTGTTTGAATTTCTACACACACTCTTACAGATTTTGACAGTTTATGCCGCCAAAGCAAAAACAAAATACATGTAAATTTTTGTTTTTGTACTCCTGCTATCACCTTATATTAATTCGCCTTGGCATAGCGAATACGTTTTCGATGTTCACATTATGTAGGGTTTTGAAAGTGCTACACGCTATTTATTGACAATATTGCGATCCGCGATCCAGATAATTTTTTTTTAGAAATTTTGCGATATGGATCACGATCCATCAATACTGCGTGCTACACCGTCAATAAATATCGCGATACTTGGATCACGTCAATAAATACTGACCGTGTGACAGTGTCTATATACATACATACTTTCGCCTGAATTCTGTGCACTAGACAAATCTAATTTTAGGCGCTTTAACGGCGCACAACGAATTTAGCCAAGTAGAAACAAATCTGAGCGGCATAGTTTTAGGCGCAAATTTTTGACAAATAGTCGAGGTTGATTATTTGTCAAGTGCACATAATTGCGGGGTTTATTTGGCCGCTGAGCGGAAGCAGTGTGTCGGTTGGTGTTGTCTGCATTTAGAGAAATCTTCAAAGGCGCCATATTTGGCGAATGGGAAGTGCGTGTTGGGCTATGTTCAGTGGCGCTATTTTTTCCTACGAAAATTGATAGAGTTTTCTTGATTGGTAGGTAAAAAATAAAGATCAACGCTCTTACATAGATGTCTGCTAACTAAAATTATCCTTTAACTCTTTTTAGCTACATAAAAGCCTCATTAGGGAGCGCTTTCTTTTAAGTAAGCTCTTTTTGGAACAAATGATTCTTCCTTCTAGACTAACATGCTATTAAGATTCTAAGAAAGCATTGTTAAAAGTGTGAACGATACATTTGCGGTATTTTATGGCTGATTTTCAGTGGACTTTAGGGTATTTTTCTAACCAAGTTAGAATGTTTATTCGATCTTGTTATTTAATTAATTATAATTGAATTTTGGGTAATTTTCGCAAGATATTTCCATGTTAAATTTGCATAGTCAAAGAAAAAATCTTAACATGGAAACAATTTTAAAATAAAAGATTTTTTTTTTAAGTTTACAAAAACATCAAGCTATCAGCGAAGAAAATTGATTGTTAAATGAAGCTGCAAATGGTCATAAGAAAATGCGTTATAAATTCGTTTTTTCTTATGAAATATGACTAGTAAAGAATGTTACTCATACGCCATGTATGAACCATTGAAATCATATATTTGGATGGAAACATTTTGTAAAGAAATTATTACGCATTTTTATTTGACCACTCAAAACTTTATTTATCAATCAATTTTCTTCCTTGATAGCTTGAGCAACCTCACGAACGTTACAGATCCACAATGAAATGTTTCCAGGTCGGGTGTACGTAACCTGATGTATACATATCTGACTAAAGCCTGCCATTCGAATGCATTCCAGCAATTCAATGAAACATACGTTTTAATTTTTTAAATTGGGATATTATATTTTAATTTTTGGATATACATACATACAATGAAACATTAAATAATTTAACTTGCATAGTTAAAATTATTAATATTTTTGCACTTAACTTAAACAATGAAATTAAAAATTTTCCAAATCAGTTTAAATTCGCTGGAAAAATACTAATTTTTGCTTACAGTTGCGCTTGTTCGAGGCACATAATACAAGCGGCAGAACGGCAGCATTGAAAATTTAGGAAAATGTTCCACAAATTCATATTTAAAGTAATACATTAAAGCTTAAATAATCGTCTAACTGAGCGGTTGTGATTGCAACTCGAACAAGCTCAAACAAAGGCGCCCAATTATCCCTCAACCTTGCACATTTGACTAGCCATACCAATATAAATATTTGCGAATACGTAAATTTAGATTGCAACAAGAAAAATTTCCAAATATATTACAACGAAAGGGAGTCCTTATAAATTCTATGAAAAGTTTTGCAATTACAATACGCAATGCACTTACATAAAAACCATTGAAAAATATATCGTTACCGAAATTCAGAAAGGTCCTGACCAACATTTTTTTCGAAACGGCTTTTTTCACACATTTTGGTAGTGTGAAGTGTTATTACCAAAAACAATGGAGTTACATGCCACTTTTCAAAAAGCTCTACCTGTTTTTGATATTATTTTTATAATGTTTTTTGCTTCTCCTGTCAAATAAAAAAAAACATCCCTGCCAGCATTTTTTATTGCGGTAGTTACTAATTCGACACGACATATCTGTGAAAATCATTTATTAGTAAATTAAAAAGTTAAATCATAAATAACAAAAACTTATTATTTGTTTATTAATCTCTGTTTGAAGAGTTATTACCTCCTCTGTCAATCTTTGAACAAGTTTCTGATTTGCCTACTGATTATTATTAGTTTGTGCTTTCAATGACCGCAATTCTTCTAAAATGTTGGAGACTGTTCGAAGCTCATCTACTTGTGATGCTTGCATTTCTAAATAAATAATAATTTTATTCGTTATGCACTCTGAATATGACGTGTATTACTTAAGTTTATGTACTAGACTTCATAATTACTTTGCTGGCGATTTTCATGTGAATGTGGTATCAAATTCTCTGCGAAAAATTAAAAAAATGTTTTTTTATGCATACGGCTTAATATATACACTTTTCATTATTACCTGTATTGGAAAAATTGTAATATGCCATTATAGTATAAATGGTAATATAGCAATAGAGTATTTGGAGTTCTGCAAACAATTGCCTTGTTTTGAATTTCTTTTAGAGAAAATTTTATTTCAATACCTAAACTGATTTCGTTAGCAGCATAAATGTCTAAGT